TTGGGGCGGGGAAGGGGCGGGGAAGGGCGCCGGTGTTTATAAAGGATCGCGTGGGCGGAGAACAAGGAGACCAGCGACAGGACCCCGCAGTGCGGAGGGCGCCGCGGGTTTGGTCCGAGCGGCTAAGTAACCGAAGGCATTCTGCCTCCACGTGGCCACGTGGTGCCGTGGACGCAGAATTGGGCTCGGCTCAAACGCCGAAAGCTAAGCGCCGAAAGCTCCCCGTTCGCTCGGCGAAAGAATGAAGAAATAGATATACCGTATACAGGGTATGTATTTACAAGGTATCGAGCAAAAACGAGCTAAACGCTCATGCCCTCCGTCTCCGTCTTCGGTTAGAGTCGACCTGCGCCGCGGGGGCGACGGCTCCATACCTGAGGGCGCGGGACGGGGAGGCGAAGCTGCCGTCGACGCTTTTCCTGCGGCGATCGTCCACGGCGGCACGGGTAGCGTCGTCCGGGGCGGTGCGCGAGGACGGCACGTCGGCGCTGTGGCGGCGCAGCGGCGACGGCACGGCGGGGGGGTTGTCGCGGCGGGCGCCAGCAGATGTGCGCAGCTTCTCGATGGCCTTGCGCGGGCGCGTGACGGTGGCGACGGAGCCTTGCTGCATGTTTTGCATGAGCGTGGCGTGGTAGTGGTCGCGCGAGGTGTGGAAAGCGGAATCGCGGCGCTCCAGGGCGGCGATGTCGCCGACCAAAAGGTTGAGCTCGGGGCCGCTTTCGGCGACAATGTGCTCGAAGACGCCGTCCCGGCCGGACGCCCAGGTGGGCAGGACCGGGACGCCGACGCGGGCCTGCGCGGCCAATCGCTCCTCCTCGGCGCGGGCCAGCTCGCGGCGGGCCTCGGCCGTGGAGATAATGTTGGAGGGCGCGACGAGCAAGTAGTCGAGCTGCAGCCCCGGGAGCTTGTGCAAATCGGTGAAGCAAACGGCGCTGACGGGGTCGTTGACGGATGAAATCTCATTTTTTGCGTTCACGCACACCGTGCTCGAGGTCTCCCAGCGGACGTCGGTGGCAGGCGGCTTGAGGGCCGAGACACCCTTTTCAAAAAAGCCAACGCGTAGCATCTGCTCGACTTTTGGCCTTGGCTCGGCCTTGACGACACTTCGATAGGTGGCCGTGACGATATCGGCTTCTCTGACGGCATCGATGGAGCGACATGAGGTAGAGGTGTAGCGGACCTGGACACTATATGTACCGGCTCGGCACCACTTGTACTCGTCGAGGGCCTGAGCCCAGTAGGGATATGTCTTAATGGTAACTTGTTCATCGTGATAGGTGGCGCCGGCATGGGCCGGGCCTTGCTCAGGCACGCGTGCATAAGGACTCTTCCTCTGAAAGAAAGCAAAGACGCGGTCGGGCTTTGGGCACTCACACTTGACGCCGTCATCCAAACAATCCGGGCAATCCCTGGTCTCGGATATCTGGAGTCGACCTCTAATGCCCCTGGGGAAAGCGCCTACGACTGGGGTGGACTCGAATATGGTAGCCTCAGCGTAGTGGTCGCCGGACTCGTCAAAGCAGTCGACCATGACGGCGATGGAGCCCTCTGCAAAGTAGGAGAACATCATGAGGCATCTGCGGCCGACGTCCAGGACGAAGCGGTTGACCAGGGGCTTCCACAGGCGCGGGTCGACGCCCGCCGGCGGCGGGATCGGGCATCCCAGGGCGACGCCGAAGATGAAGTGCTCGCGCAGCTCGACCGGGACGTACAGCAGGGCCTTCTC